TCTCGACGGTCAAGCACGCGATGGTTCGTTCAAGGTGACAACTTTTATCTTAGCGTTTTTTAGGGTTTTAACGATTTGTGTCTTGCATGTCATGATTCTTCCATTATTGATTCTGATTTTGTGTTGTTTGTGGTTTTTTGAGGTTGTAAAAGGGAGGGAAAAGAAGAGGAATGCTACCTCTTGGAGACAGGAATGAAGACGGCGGTGCTCAGGCGGCTTGACGGCGGAGAAACGTGTGACACGGTGGCTTGAGGATGCGCGAGCTTTGGGGATACTGGTATTCTGTGTCTTTCTTTGTCCTTTATATCTTTGCCTCGCTTCTGTTTGCTTCTTTATCCTCTTCCTCTGTCTTTTGCCTCGCTTTGCTTGCTTGATGCTTGAGATGCCTGTTTGTTTGCTATTGCATATGTTGCCTCTGATGATGCCTTTGAGACGCCTGATTTTTCTCTTCCTCTTTGTTGCCTTCTGTATACTTCAGTATGATTGGTATGTTGCCTCTAAGGATTTTTGATGATGAACCCCTTTTGGTTATGAGAACCTCGCTTGAACTGGATCCTGTTTCACTTCTTTTCCTCTTCCTTCTGGTTGCCTCGATGCCTGCTTAGTATGCTGTATGATTTTGAATCTGTATGCTTATGAGATGTGTGCCCAGTGATGATGTTTTCTGAGGGCCTTTTGTGTTGCCCTTGAATTTTGTGTTGCCCTTGAATGATGGCTTACTGAGATATTCTGAGTGTTTGCCCGATGATGAAGGTTTTCTGAGGGCCCCTAGTGTTGCCCTTGAATGCTTTAGTTTGGAAGGTTTGAAATGCCTAGGCTTTTGTTTATGTTTGATGGTTTCAGCAGGCCATTGGATAAGTAAGGTTTGGGAGGCCTTTTGACAGGTTTAAGCTTGTTGTTTTGATGGATTTAATGGTTTGATAGGTTATGGCCTTGGGAGTTTAGGTTTTATTTGATAACTGAAAGGCTTATGCAGGTTGGTTTTTACTGGTTTTTTGAGCTTTGAGGCCACGGGTTTATGGTCTACTGGTTGTGGTCTTTAGCAGGTTATGGTTGTTTTAATGCTGAAGGTTTGAACAAGTTTTAGGATGGAGGTTTTGCTTCAGGTTATGTGTTTTTTTGATCTTTAGGCAGGTATGCTGCTGTATATTTGTTTTTGTGATCTCTTTTCCTTGGACTGTGTTGCCTTTCATATATGTTTAGGCTTTTTGGCGCCTATGATTTTGAATGCTTCCAGATTTGATATCTTTTCTTGGTCAAGCTGATGGGCATGTTTGCAAGGTTGAGAATTTCATTCTTTGTGATTACCTCTGCTGCATATGTTCTGTCTACTTCTGAACAGCTCTGATACATGCCTCTTTTAGCCTTCAGCCTGCTGTAACATGATCTGCTTTTTTATCCCTTTCTTCTCTCTTGACAGATTTTAAACATTCAATATTGTTTATATTTGTCTTTTTTCTGAAAAAACAAATGGTTGAAAATGATGAGATGGAATTAGCTTGCAATCTACTCTTTCTCTGCATATTTGCATATCTCTTTTCCATACTTTGTGCTTCTTGACAGCATTGATAGTACTTTGGTATTTTGGGATATCTTTTGGCAGCTTGTTGACTTTGGACTTAGTTTGCTTTTGGACTTAAACTTGCATATGCTGTTTGTTTTGAACTATGCAGTAGGCTTAAGAATTTTGAATTTGTGCAAAACTCATAACTTTGTGCATTCATGTTTCAATTGCAAGCCTTCCATCCTTCTTTGTGAACCGGGAGAAATCCCGTGATTTGCAAAGAGGGTAAAACTGATTCTGGCCATTTGTTTTTAATGATGAAACTTTTTTAACTGTCTGCTTTAACTATTTATTTTTCTCTGCTTTTGACTTTTCTTCTTTTCTTTCGCAGATAAAAATTAAATGGAGAGGGAAAGCAACAGATGGAGGATGAAGAATTGAAGACTTAGAAAAATATTAGGATAGTTTTATTTAAATTTAAATAAGTGTAATATTATTATTGTAAATACTTTGTAAACGAATACTTGTATTTAAATAACAATTGTAACAAATATTTAAAGATGAAATAAAAATTCCTTTTATCCAATTAATTCTTTTCTTCCTTTCAATTGTTTACTTTATTATTTATAATTCTTTAAATAAAAATAATTGAAAATAAATTCCAACTATTTAATCTCAGAATAATAAATAATTAAATAAACATTGTTTCATCATTGATCAATTAATAAGCATGGCGCTTCACAAATCCAAATTAATGCACAGTCAATCACAACAACTGCCCAGACATATTCTTCCTTTTACCGACTTTAATCAAACCCTGCAAATTCAATCCAAATGTATCCTTTCACTGATTTAATCACACAATGCGAACTCAATCCAAATGTTTCAATCCACATCTCAGCATAACTTGAAAAGCACGGTAGAGTTAAACCTTTCTGAGGAACCGCGCATAAAAAACCCTAATTCTGATCAAATGCCAAAGAAACGTTCGCCTGATCACAGTTGAGCCAGAATCAACCAAAACCCTAAGCAAATTGTATGAACTGTTCTAGAGCCATGAAAATCAATAAAACCCTAATTTTGTCTAACTGACTAGAAAAGTCTGTTTGACCGATTCTTGAGCCAGTTTGAAAAATCAGGAAACGCCTGAAGCTGTGATTTCTTGTGGAAAAATGCGAGGGCAAATTTTGGGGTACAACAATATCTAAAAAATGTATTTCATTTTTATAAAGGATATTAATTTTATAAATAATTATAATTTTAATTAATACTACATGTGTCGGTCTCAATTAACTATCCTAAATTTATATTTTGATACTAGTAGGAATATCAAATCGTAATAATTAATTATCCAATAGAATTCAATTCTCTCACTTATTCATATTTTTTTATACGTGTCTTTTTTTAAAAAAACATTTATTATTTTAGAATAAACAAAATGTTAGGAAACTATATTTAATAAAAAAACTATAAAGATATATTATGAATAGAAATAATAATACTAAAGTAAAAAGTAGGTGTTTAAATTTAATATTCATTATTATTAAATATTTTAATTGAAAATCTTTATAAAATAATTTGACTAAAAAATATAGTAATTGATTTTATAATAATTTTTAAAACAATAATTTGATAATAATAGTTTAATCTATAAAGTTGAAAAACAAATTATTATTATAAAAAATGAAAATCATATTTCATAAAAATACAATTAAATTTTGATATTTTATAATTAATGTGTAAAAAATTCTGAAAAATTATTATTTGGTGTTTAAAAAAGAAACATAAATAACTTTAGAATATTTTTTTATATATTTTAACAAAAGTTTACATTTTTCTGAAGATTGATTCATATTTTTTTTAATGAGTTGGTATATTGGAAATGTTATTTTTTTGAGATTTTTTAAGAACATTTGTAAAATAGTTATTAATTTACTTTAATTAGTAAAATATTCTATTTTATAAAATCTCACCCCTGTGCATGTTAGTTGATTTATTTAAAAGTTTAAATATATTACCATCAACAAATGTTGAGTTTTGAAGAAGTGATTAGATTCCAAAAACACGGAGAACCATTGTTTAAATTTTTATTAAAATGGTTTGAATTTTTTGTTAAGAATTTAAATAGTATGATAAAACTTTTAAAATTTTTATATAAATTTCAAATTATTTTAATTATTAAACTATATTTATTAAGTTGTGTTTGTTTTATATTCAAATTAAAGTATTAGATTTTTTTTAAATGAACATATGTTTTTAGAAAATCCATTAAATATCTGTACTCAATCTCAAACAAAATAGGTATTTAATGTTGTGTATACAACATTTAATTTTAATTACTTCAATAATTTTTTCTTTTAAACATAATATTAAATTTTCAAATATAATAAAAACATTGGATCATAATTATTTGATAAGTTAAATATTAAAATACTCTTTTAAACAATGCCAATTTTCCATCCAAATTCATTGTTCTTGTGTACATTAAATAAATGTGATAGAAAGAACACGCATAAAAAATTTAAAAAATTAATTTATTATGTTTTTAAAAAATAGCCGTATCGTTCTTATATGTCCAAAACACAACTTTATTCACCTAAGTTTTATATGTCTAAAACAAAAAATTGTTACAGGCTTGCATTATCTAAACTCCATTTTTCACTATCAAAACTCACAAACCTAAATCTCTAATCTTTATTATTCTATTCTTTTTCAAGATTAAAGTCAATAATTGATCCACAAACAATAAATTCACCCATATGTTCATCATGGTTAATATTATTAAAGACATTAAAAAAATAGAAAAATTTTACGGTAGTATTAGTGATCATTTCATGCATAGAAATAGTCACTGCATCTTAAAGTTATGTCTATCATTAATGGTCGTCTATAACGCGTCTTTGAGAATCTAGTTGATGTGTTTTTTTTCTTTTGTGGTCTCACTTATGAGCACCCATCATTATCTATCTCCCCAGTGTCTTTCTCGTTCTCCTATGTGGACAATAGTTTCAGTTGATGCACTTGATAACCATATACACCATGAAACCAAAAGTTTTTCTTATGAATTTTAAAGTTTTATCTTGGCCATATAAAGTTTAACTCACCATGATTGAATCCATATTCATCTGTTTGATCACGGGTAATGTAACCACCATGTAGTAAGGGAAATACCCAAAACCTAAGACATAAATCCTTCTATCTCTCCTTTGAGAGTATTTCATGTACTATACATAGTTTATAGAAACTTTTATTACTATTACATAAATTGACAAATTTTCTTAATATAATAATTAAATTACAAATTCTTAAATAAAAAATAAAAATGAAAGAACAAAGTCAGTAAAATTATGTAAATTTAAATGATATTTTATTCACAACTTTTGCAGCATTTTATTATTATTATTATTTTAATAAAACAACTTGTTAGTATTCTAAAAAGATTGGTATTATTTTAGCCAACAATATGTTTATCACACAAAAAACAAAGATTAATCAATCAACTAGATGGTGTTGTTTCTTTTTGGTTGAACAATTGAATCAACTTGGTTAAATCAACAAATAAACTTCCATTTTGATCACTTATTTCCTTAGAACTTAATTTTGTCTTGAAAATCATTTGTCTAATCTCATTTCCTTTATATGAGTCCATCAATTCCTTAATTCGGTCTTCTAATTCAATTCCACTCACAAACCCATCTTTTGACTTGTTCAGTTCCGAAGTCACCTTCATTTCTTCAACCAATATCATGTTGTTCAGACTTTGTTCAGCATACAAAGGCCATGCCACCATAGACACACCTTCAAAATTTGTTTCCAACACCGAGTTCCATCCACAGTGAGTCACAAATCCACCAATTGAATCATGACTCAATATTGCACCTTGTGGAGCCCAATTTCTTACCACCATTCCATTTTCCTTTGTCCTCTCCAAAAACCTTTCTGGTGACAAGTCTTCCAAATTGAGCTCTTCTGAGTCCAATTCACTTCTAACAATCCACAAGAATCTTGGCTTACTTTTTCCTAAACCAAGTGTTATCTCTTTCAATTGAGCCTTAGAAAATCTCCGCATACTTCCAAAATTTAACAACACGACACTTTTACTCGGTTACAAGTCGAGCCAACGCAGACACCAATTTTACATCTCCACCATAAGAAGATGTAATCGAGGTCCAATAGAGAAAATTGTAGGAGTAGTTCCATTAGGACCAAACAATCTTTTATTTAAAGATTCAAGCGCTTTTCCTTCAATAGCATCAAAAGTGTTCACAATAATTCCAATACTTTTTGTCATAGTTTTTACAGATTCAAGCATAATCTTGAATTCGTCACTCTCAGAATCCAATTCATCTGGGTAATCACCTGTTGTAAAATTCTTTGGCAAACCAGGAATTAGAAGTGGCATGTGAAGATCCTGAATGCGTTTCTTAGCATTTTGGTGAAGTGTTGGCAAACGGAGAAAAATGCCTAATGTAATTGCACCTGAAGTGTAGTAAAAGTAAGTGGAGATTTCAAGTTTCATGGCTATATTACGCACTATAGGTGAAGAAATCTAATATTACACCTTTGAGGTTTGTGGTTTTGGAAATGGATTGAAGAATGTTGTCAACATGATGGTTGCTTTGTGGAGAGATTTTAAAGGTAATAAAATGTGTTAGAAGTGTTGTAGGGGATGAAATTGGAGGAATATAATGAAAATTGATTGAAGGAAATGTGGCTGAAACTGATGCTATGTAGTGTTCTTGTGGAGAAATATCAGTGTCTTTGTTGTTGGGATATTTGTTGGGTGGTGTAAGAATGAGAATTGTGATAGAAAATGAAGGGTATTGAGTTACTAGAAGTTTACTTAATTCAACCATAGACATTAAGTGTCAACTACCGAGAGCAAGATAAAAAACTATATTGTCCTTCATGTTTGAGAATTTTAGTAGATGAATGAATATTCTTTTTGAGGTGAACACAATTTTGTGTAGTTAGAAAAAAGAGAGAAAATAAGTTGTATTTAAGGGTAACTCATTTGACTCTCAAATCTAAAAAAATATGTTTTATTATTTATTAATATTATAATATATTTGACTATTCTAAAAGAAAAATTAATATGTTGGTCTTTTGCTATTGATGAATGCATTGGTTTTGTAACGTTTTTACCGATAATAACAATAATATATAGTAATAATTATATAATAGTAAATAAATAATAACAATGGTAAATTACGCAAAAATAAAAAAAGTATACTTTTTTTTTTAATTATTAAACATTTCTAAAATTCAGTGCATCATTAATTATAAATATATCAATAATAGAGAAAAAAATTTAAATAGAATAAGTAAGAATTAAGAATATTATAAAAAATGATATTAATAAATAACCAAATTTTTTGATTGTTTGTTACTATCACAAATAAAAGAGAAGTCATTTTAAAATTTAAAAAAGAAGATAATCGACCAACTCAAATAATGATACTCTCTTTTACTTTACTGTCTATTTCATTTTTGTAAAAAAAAAATATCTAAAAAATATATTTCATTTTTGTAAACGATATTAATTATATAAATAATTGTAATTTTAATTAATACCATGAGTCGGTCTCAATTAACTATCCTCAATTTATATTTTGATACTAGTAGGAATATCAAATCGTAATAATTAATTATCTAATAGAATTCAATTCTCTCACTTATTCGTGTTTTTTTTTAAAAAAATATTTATTATTCTAGAATAAACAAAATGTTAGGAAACTATATTTAAGAAAAAAACTATAAAGATATATTATGAATAGAAAGAATAATAGGAAAGTAAAAAGTAGATGTTTAAATTGAATATTCATTATTATTAAATTTTTTAATTAAATTTTTTTATAAACTAATATGACTAAAAATATAGTAATTGATTTTATAATAATTTTCAAAACAATAATTTGATAATAATAGTTTAATCTATAAAGTTGAAAAACAAATTATTATTATAAAAAATGAAAATCATATTTCATAAAAATACAATTAAATTTTGATATTTTATAACTAATGTATAAACAGTTCTGAAAAATTATTATTTGATGTTTAAAAAAGAAACATAAATAACTTTAGAATATTTTTTTATATATTTTAACAAAAAATTACATTTTTATGAAGATTGATTAAGATTTTTTTAATGAGTTGGTACATTGGAAATGTCATTTTTTTGAGATTTTTTAAGAACGTTTGTAAAATAGTTATTAATTTACTTTAATTAATAAAATGTTCTATTATTTAAAAACTCACCCCTATGCATGTTAGTTGATTTATTTAAAAGTTCAAATATATTACCATCAATAAATGTTGAGTCTTGAAGAAATGACTAGATTTCAAAAAAACGAAGAATCAATGTTTAAAGTTTTATTAAAATGGTTTGAATTTTTTTGTTAAGAATTTAAATAGTATGATAAAACTTTTAAAATTTTTATATAAATTTTAAATTATTTTATATTATCAAACTATATCCATTAAATTGTGTTTGTTACATATTCAAATTAAAGTATGAGATTTTTTTAAATGAACATATGTTTTTAGAAAACCCGTTAAATATACGTATTCAGTCTCAAACAAAATAGGTATTTAATGTTGTGTATACAACATTTAATTTTAATTACTTAAATAATTTTTTCTTTTAAACATAATATTAAATTTTCAAATATAATAAAAATATTGGATCATAATTATTTGATAAATTAAATATTAAAATACTCTTTTAAACAACGCCAAATTTCCATTCAAATTCTTTGTTCTTTTGTATATTAAATAAATGATAGAAAGAATATCCACAAAAAATTTAAAAAAATTAGTTTATTATGTTTTTAAAAAATAGCCGTACCATTCTTATATGTCCAAAATACTACTTTATTTATCTAAATTTTATATGTCTAAAACAAAAAATTGTTACAGACTTGCATTATCTAAACTTCATCTTTTACTATCAAAACTCACAAACTTAAATCTCTAATCTTTACTATTCTATTCTTTTTCAAGATTAAAGTCAATAAATGATCCACAGACAATAAATCCACCCATATGTTCATCATGGTTAATATTATTAAAGACATTAAAAAAATAGAAAGATTTTACGGTGGTATTAGTGATCCTTTCATGCATAGAAATAGTCACTACATGTTAAAGTTATGTCTATCATTAGTGATTGTCTATAACGCGACTTTGAGAATATAATTGATGCGTGTGTTCTCCTTCGTGGTCTCACTTATGAGCACCCATCATTATCTATCTCCTCAGTGTCTTTCTCGTTCTCCTCTGTATACAATAGTTTCAATTTATACACTTGATAACTATATACACCATGAAACCAACAGTTTTTCTTATGAATTTTAAAGTTTTATCTTGGCCATACGAAATTTAACTCACCAGGATTGAATCCACACTCATCTGTTTAATCACGGGTAATGTAACCACCATGTGGTAAGGCGAACACCCCAAACCTAAGACAAAAATATTTTTATCTCTCCTTTGAGAACATTTTATGTACTGTACATAGTTTATAGAAATATTTATTACTATTACCTAAATTGACAAATTTTCTTAACACAATAATTAAATTATAAATTCTTAAATAAAAAATAAAAATGAAAGAATAAAGTCAGTAAACATTTGTAATTTTAAAAGATATTTTATTCACAACTTTCCCACCATTTTATTATTATTAATGCAATAAAACAACTTATGGGTATTCTAAAAAGATTGGTCTTATTTTAGTCAACAATACATTTAACACAAAAATAACAAAGATTAATCAATCAACTAGATGATGTTGTTTCTTTTTGCTTGAACAATTGAATCAACTTGCTTAAATCAAAAATAAACTTCCATTTTGATCTCTTGCTTCCTTAGAACTTATTTTTGTCTTGAAAATCATTTGTTTACTCTCGTTTCCTTTACATGAGTCCATCAATTCCTTAATTTGGCCTCCTAATTCAATTCCACTCACAAACCCATCTTTTGACTTATTCAGTTCCAAAGCCACCTTCATTTCTTCAACCAAAATCACTTTGTTCAGACTTTGTTCAGCATACAAAGGCCCTGCCACCATAGGCACACCTCCACGAACTGCTTGCAACACCGAGTTCCATCCATAATGAGTCACAAACCCATCAGTTGAATCATGACTCAATATTGCACCTTGTGGAGCCCAATTTCTTACAACCATTCCATTTTCCTTTGTCCTCTTCAAAAACTCTTCTGGTGACAAGTCTTCCAAGTCCAATTCACTTCTAACAATCCACAAGAATCTTTGCTTACTTTTTTCCAAACCAAGTGCTATCTCTTTCAATTGAGCCTTAGGAAATCTCACCATGCTTCCAAAACTTAAAAACACGAAACTTTTACTCGGTTGCAAGTCGAGCCAACGCAGACACCCATTTTCATCTCCACCATAAGAAGATGTAATCAGAGGTCCAATAGAGAACATTGTAGGAGTAGTTCCATTAGGAATAATCATTCGTTTATTTAAAGGTTCAAGTGCTTTTCCTTCAATAGCATCAAAAGTGTTCACAATAATTGCAACACTTTTTGTCATAGTTTTTACAGATTCAAGCATAATCTTGAATTCATCACTCTCAGAATCCAATTCATATGGGTAATCATCTGCTGTAAAATTATTTGGCAAACCGGGAATTCTAAGTGGCATGTGAAGATCCTGAATGTATTTCTTAGCGTTTTGGTGAAGTGTTGGCAAATGAAGGAAAATGGCTAATACAATTGCACCTGAAGTGTAATAAAAGTAAATGGAGATTTCAAGTTTCAAGGATATATTAGGCACTATAGGTGAAGAAATCTAATATAACAGCTTTGAGGTTTGTGGTTTTGGAAATGGATTGAAGAATGTTGTCAACATGATGGTTGCTTTGTGGAGATATTTCAAAGGTAATAAAATGTGTTAGAAGTGTTGTAGGGGATGAAATTGGAGGAATATAATGAAAATTGATTGAAGGAAATGTGGCTGAAACTGATGCTATGTAGTGTTCTTGTGGAGAAAGATTGATGTCTTTGTTGTTGGTGTTTTTGTTGTGTGGTGTAAGAATGAGAATTGTGATGAAAAATGAAGGGGGCTGAGTTACTATGAGTTTGCCTAATTCAACCATAGATATTAAGTGTCCACTACCTAGAGCAGGCTAAAGAACTATATTGTCCTTCATGTTTGAGAATTTTAGCACATGAATGAATATTCTTTTTGAGGTGAACTCAATTTTGTGTAGTTAGAAAAAAGAGAGAAAACAAGGTGTATTTAATGATAACTCATTTGACTCTCAAATCTAAAAATATATATTTTTATTATTTATTAATAATATAATATATTTGACTATTCTAAAAGAAAAATCAATACGTTGGACTTGCTATTGATGAATGCATTGGTTTTGGAATGATTTTACCAATAATAATAATAATATATAATAATAATTATATAATAGTAAATAAATAAAAATAATTAGAAATTACGCAACAATAAAAAAATATACTTTTTTTCTTAATTACTAAACATTTTTAAAATATAGTGCATCATTAATTATAAATATATTAATAATACAGAAAAAAAGATAAAATAAAATAAGTAATAATTAAAAATATTATAAAAAATGATATTAATATAAATAATCAAATTTATTGTTTGTTTTTTACTATAAAAAATAAAAGAGAAGTCATTTTAAGATTTAAAAAAAGAAGATAATCGACCAACTCAAATAATGATACTCTCTTTTATTTTAACTGTCTATTTCATTTTTGCAAAAAAAAATAATCTATTTCTTTGTAGTAAAAAAAATGTCTTTTACTTTAACTGTCTATTTCATTTTTGTCAATGAAATGTATTTCATTTTTGTAAACGATATTAATTATATAAATAATTGTAAGGTAAAAGGTGAAAGAAGGTAAATTGTGTGTTATATGGTTAGCAACGGTGTGATGTATATGGTCGGTTAGAAATGGTATATGTTTTCGAAATGTGGATTGAAATGTGAATAATACGGTTTAGAGCATTACATCTTTGGCTTGAAAGTGATCTTCGTGCAATAAGATTACACATTCCAATTGTAGCTTCTACGAGTTCAACAAGAATCCCTTATTCTTGTCGTAGTTCGTAATTAGTTTATAATTTTCCCGTTTTTTTGTTGGTAGAAATTTGACCACTTCTCTGTGTAAGAGGTTTGGAGAATCCTTAGTTCTTCGTTTAATATAATATTTGATTACACAATTTTTTTTTGTAATTTTAGTTAATATTACATGTGTCGGTCTCAATTAACTATCCTCAATTTATATTTTGATACTAGTAGGAATATCAAATCGTAATAATTAATTATATAATAGAATTCAATTCTCTCACTTATTGATATTTTTTATATGTGTTTTTTTTTTATAAAAAAATATTTATTATTCTAGAACAAATAAAATGTTAGGAAACTATATTTAAAAAAAACTATAAAGATATATTACGAATAGAAATAATAATAGTAAAGTAAAAAGTAGATGTTTAAATTGAATATTCATTATTACTAAATATTTTAATTAAATTTTTTTATAAATAATTTGATTAAAAAATATAGTAATTGATTTTATAATAATTTTCAAAACAATAATTTAATAATAACAGTTTAATCTATAAAGTTGAAAAACAAATTATTATTATAAAAAATGAAAATGATATTTCATAGAAATACAATTAAATTTTGATATTTTATAACTAATGTGTAAACAATTCTGAAAAATTATTATTTGATGTTTAAAAAAGAAACAAAAATAACTTTAGAATATTTTTTTATATATTTTAACAGAAATTTTCATTTTTATGAAGATTGATTTAGAGTTTTTTAATGAGTTGGTATATTGGAAATGTCTTTTTTTTTTGGAGATTTTTTAAGAACGTTTGTAAAATAATTATTAATTTACTTTAATTAGTAAAATGTTCTATTTTTTAAAATCTCACCCCTGTGCATGTTAGTTGATTTTTTAAAAGTTCAAATATATTACCATCAATAAATGTTGAAGAAGTGACTAGATTCCAAAAACACGAAGAACCAATGTTTAAAATTTTTATTGAAATGGTTTGAATTTTTTTTGTTAAGAATTTTAATAGTATGATGAAACTTTTAAATTTTTTATATAAATTTCAAATTATTTTATATTATCAAATTATATCCATTAAATTGTGTTTGTTTTATATTCAAATTAAAGTATAAGATTTTTTTAAATGAACATATGTTTTTAGAAAACCCGTTAAATATCCGTACTCAGTCTCAAACAAAATAGGTATTTAATGTTGTGTATATAACATTTAATTTTAATTACTTAAATAATTTTTTCTTTTAAATATAATATTAAATTTTTAAATATAATAAAAATATTGGATCATAATTATTTGATAAATTAAATATTAAAATACTCTTTTAAACAACGTCAAATTTCCATACAAATTCATTGTTGTTTTGTACATTAAATAAACGTGATAGAAAGAACACGCACAAAAAATTAAAAAAAATAGTTTATTATGTTTTTAAAAAATAGTCGTATCATTCTTATATATCCAAAACACTACTTTATTCATCTAAATTTTATATGTCTAAACCAAAAAATTGTTACAGGCTTGCGTTATCTAAACTTCATCTTTTACTATCAAAACTCAAAAACCTAAATATCTAATCATATTATTCTATTCTTTTTCAAGATTAAAGTCAATAAGTGATCCACAAACAATAAATCCATCCATATGTTCATCATGGTTAATATCATTAAAGACATTAAAAAAATAGAAAGATTTTACGGTGGTATTAGTGATCCTTTCATGCATAGAAATAGTCACTACATCTTAAAGTTATGTCTATCATTAGTGATCGTCTATAACGCATCTTTGAGAATCTGATTGATGTGTTTTTCTCCTTCGTGGTCTCACTTATGAGTACCCATCATTATCTATCTCTCCAGTGTCTTTCTCGTTCTCCTCTGTGAGTCCATTTTGATCTCTTGCTTCCTTAGAACAAATTTTTGTCTTGAAAATCATTTGTCTACTCTCGTTTCCTTTATATGAGTCCATCAATTCCTTAATTCGGTCTCCTAATTCAATTCCACTCACAAACCCATCTTTTGACTTATTCAGTTCCAGAGTCATCTTCATTTCTTCAACCAAAATCACTTTGTTCAGTCTTTGTTCAACATACAAAGGCCATGCCACCATAGGCACACCTTCATAAACTGCTTCCAACACCGAGTTCAATCCACAATGATTCACAAACCCACCAATTGAATCATGACTCAATATTGCACCTTGTGGAGCCCAATTTCTTATCACCATTTCATTTTCCTCCGTCCTCTCCAAAAACCCTTCTAGTGACAAGTCTTCCAAATTGAGTTCTTCTGAGTCCAATTCACTTCTAACAATCCACAAGAATCTTTGCTCACTTTTTTCCAAACCAAGTGCTATCTCTTTCAATTGAGCTTTAGAAAATCTCCCCATGCTTCCAAAACTTAACAACACGACACTTTTACTCGGTTGCAAGTCGAGCCAACGCAGACACCCATTTCCATCTCCACCATAAGAAGATGTAATAAGAGGTCCAATAGATAAAATTGTAAGAGTAGTTCCATTAGGAACAAATAATCCTTTATTTAAAGATTAAACTGCTTTTTCCTTCAATAGCATCAAAAGTGTTCACAATAATTCAAACACTTTTTGTCATAGTTTTTACAGATTCAAGCAAAATCTTGAATTCGTCACTCTCAGAATCCAATTCATCTAGGTAATCATTTGTTGTAAAATTATTTGGAAAACCGGGAATTCGAAGTGGCATGTGAGGATCCTGAATGCGTTTCTTAGCGTTTTGGTGAAGTATTGGCAAATGGAGAAAAGTGGCTAATCCAACTGCACCTGAAGTATAGTAAAAGTAAGTGGAGATTTCAAGTTTTTTGGCTATTTGATAGGCACTATAGGTGAAGAAATCTAATATAACAGCTTTGAGGTTTGTGGTTTTGGAAATGGATTGAAGAATGTTGTCAACATGATGGTTTCTTTGTGGAGAGATTTCAAAGGTAATAAAATATGTTAGAAGTGTTGTAGGGGATGAAATTGGTGAAATATAATGAAAATTGAATGAAAGAAATGTGGCTGAAATAGATGCTATGTAGTGTTCTTGTGGGGAAAGAGTGATGTCTTTGTTGCTGGTGTTTTTGTTGGGTGGTGTAAGAATGAGAATTGTGATGGAAAATGAAGGGTGCTGAGTTACTATGAGTTTGCCTAATTCAACCATAGACATTAAATGTCCACTACATAAAGCAGGATAAAGAACTATAGTGTCCTTCATGTTTGAGAATTTTAGTAGATGGATGAATATTCTTTTTGAGGTGAACTCAATTTTGTGTAGTTAGAAAAAAGAGATAAAACAAGGTGTATTTGAAGGTAACTCATTTGACTCTCAAATCTAAAAAAACATGGTTTATTATTTATTAATAATATAATATATTTGACTATTCTAAAAGAAAAATCAATACGTTGGACTTGCTATTGATGAATGCATTGATTTTGGAATGTTCTTACCTATAATAACAATAATATATAGTAATATTTATATAATAGTAAAAAAATAATAAAAATTGTAAACTATGCAACAATAAAAAAGTATTCTTTTTATTTTTCTTAATTACTAAACATTTTTAAAATTCAGTGCATCATTAATTATAAATAGGAAAAATATTCATCTTGATCCCTTAACTATAGGTCATGGTTCACTTTGGTCCCTTATATTTTTTTGTTCCAAAATAGTTCCTTAAGTTTTAAAACGCAACTACGTTAGTCCTTCCGTTAATTGGCCTCCAACGTCTGTTTATTTGCGTGAGGTGGCAGATTTCTTCATCTTCTTTATATGCAGAAAGTGTATTTCACATTGGTTCAAAATCTCCTTCACAAAATTTTGTTGACATTCTCCTTCCCAAAATTTTCTGTACTTTATTCATCTTTCTCCCTTTCTCCATGAATACGAAGCATTCATCTTCCCCAAAGAACCTCTGTCAATCTGAAAGTGTTGGGTCATGTGTATACAGTAGCTCTCGGATTGTACCTCTTTGTAGTTGCAGAGACAACGTTGTTCTTCGTAGGGCAACCACTGAGAAGAATTATGAAAATAAATTTTGGAGTTGTCACAGTTACAAGGTAAGCCCTAATTATGGTTTGGGTATGTTAGAAGACCGTAAACAGAGTTTGATCAATTTGTGAAATTTGTAGGGCTCCTTGCAAAGAGGATGTGGCTTCTTCCATTGGTGTCACGAGGAATTGTCAGAGGAATTGGAAGAGGACATAAACTAAGTATTGAGTAATAGATTGGAAAGCATATCAAAGGATTTAGATGAAACCAAGAATTAATACGAAAAATTGAGGTTAGAAATGAAGAATTAGGGGATGCTATGTTAGAAATTTAAATTCAACTCAACAATATGTTAAAGTGAAAAAAAACATTGAAGATTATGTGTTTTTTAGTGTTATGTGTGTTTGTCATTAAGTTGTATTAGAAGTAGGAGTATGTAGCAATTTGTGTGTAATTTTTTCAGTTTGGGAAATTTATGTGCAAGCTTATGTGTAATTTTAACACATGTTATCAGTTTAATAAGACTTATTTTGTTTGGCATGTCATTAATCAAAGCATATTAGTTTGGTATATCGTTAACTATAGCAAAATAATTTTGGGCATATTTTATCAGTAAATGAACACATCAGATTAGTTAAACTGAAAATACGTAGTTGGCATGTTACATAAGTATGTTACATAAGTATGTTCCAAAATACTGACATGTTACATAGACATGTTTCAAAAGATTGACAGAATGACACTTTACTTAGAGATGTTCCAAAATACATAAACCCTAAAATTATAACTAGATGGTCCTTTTTGACGTGCTTCTCTTGGTTGGAGTAGATCGCCTAGTGGTAGGACCAGTTGCATTCTTGGCTGTTGAGAGTCTTGTTGTTGGTCCTAGGGATACAAAGGGCCTTCTCACACCTAGTTTTTGTAGCTTTCCAGTTCCTCTAGCTTTCTCCTTTGTGCCTTTCCCCGGTACTGACTTTCCTTATGAAGACTGAGTTGCATTTATGTAACCCTATGCAACTGATGCTTGTGTTGCTGCAACCTGACTTGTAGTGGTTTGAGATGCATAAACTTTTTTTGTCCTAATCTAACTTGCATTAGTCCCAACGTGACTTGCCTTGCCTTGCCTTGCAGTGCCTTGTGTTGCCTTGCCTTGCCTTGCCCTGCCTTGAGCTGCATTGCCTTGTGTTGCACTACCTTGAGTTGTATTGCTTTGCCTTGCATTGACTTGAGCTGGAGTGTTTTGAGTTGCATTGCCTTGTGTAGAATTATTTTGAGTTTGATTTCCTTGAGGTGAAGTGGTTTGAGATGCATTGGCTTTCCTTGCATTGCCTTGAGCTGCAGGGGTTTGAGATGCATTAGCTTGCCTTACATTGCCTTGAGCTGCAGTGGTTTGAGATGCATTGGCTTGCCTTGCATTGCGTTGACTTACAGTGGTTTGAGATGCATTAGCTTGCCTTACATTGTCTTGAGCTGTAGTGGTTTAAGATGTATTGACTTAACTTGCATTTCCTTGAGCTGCAGTGGTTTGAGATGCAGTGCCTTGTGTTGGATTGACTTTGCAGGTTTTCTTGTTATGTCTAGTTTTCTTGCACCTAGAACACTTTACAATAAAACCAGTTCTTCTCAATTTTCTGTCAGTGCCATCAATCTCCCCTTGCTCAAGGTTTTTCCTTTTCTTTGGTCTACCAAACATCTTTCTAAACTTAGGTGGCTGCACATCAGCATATTGAGTTTTATCCCATAAATTGGATTCATTCACATGATAAAGCACAAACCTATATACTGCCTTGTACCTAGATACCCTATAATAATATGGAATTTAATCATCAACTTTAAAATTCCTACTCTTCATGGCTACATGGCATGGACACATGGAAGTCCTGTGAGTTCCCACCTTTTGCAGAAGCACAAATAATCCTTCAAGTTCACAGTGAATGTTTCAGTTGGGTTTTCCACATTCCTTACTTCAAACATATGCTCATCTGACATTCTTCATTTAATATTAACAATAACATTTAGCAGTCTGCAATTAACAATTAATAGTTTGTAATTAAAAATTAACAGACCATACCTCACAAGCCATAAGTTTGTGTAGGCACTTGTTATGTCCATCTTCTTTCTAATGTTGGGAAAAATATCATTACCAGATATGTCTTGGAACCTCGTTATGTTTTTTGCCCATCTCTCCATCATGTAAGTTCTGATCTCCTCTAGCATTGTTGCTAGTGGTTTATCCCTAGCTTCAACAATAACACTATTAAATGCCTCTGACATATTGTTGAGCACAACATCACACTTGTTGGTAGTCCTAAAATATGATCTAGACCGATATCTTGGTGGAGTCTTCATCATGTGGAGATATTCTTCTCCACTGATCATTCTCATTGCCCTTATCTCTCTTTCCCAAGTTTGTGAGTATGTAGATTTAGCAGCCTTCCAAATAAGATCCTTGAATGTTTTTCCAGGATACCTCTTCCTGAAATTGTTATACAGATGTCTAACACAAAATCGATGTTCAACATTGGGCAACAACTCTTCCATTTCAGGTAAAGTCCATGTAAAATAGATTTATAACTAATAGTAAATTATCAAGAAAACAACCAGATAAATGTAAAGATGCTTTGAAGTATTTAGTGTACCTTTTGTTGGTCTGAAATGAAAGTGTATGAGCGACATTCATGTCCACCCCCAGATCATAAATCAGTAGCTTCAAAAACCATGTCAAGCTATCTATGTTTTCACCTTCAACAACCGCAAGTGCTATGGTAAATATCTGGTCATTAGGATCCCTTCCTATTGCTTCCAAAATTTCACCTTCACAAAGCCCCTTCAAAAAGCAACCATTCAATCCTATCACATGCCTACATAATTTGAAACTTTCTTAGAATCCTTCATAGCATATGTAAAGCCTTTTAAAAAAGGGTCTCTGATCATCAACACCTTCTAGAGCAGGTTCAACATTCATCTTAATTGTTGACCCTGGATTGGCTCTTAGCAGTTCATGACAATAGTCATATATCTTAGTGTAATCACCTAAAAAGGAACCATCAACCCTATTCCTTGCAACCATTCTTGCTCTTATTGCTTTAGTCTTTTTTACACCTACATTCCACTTCCTCAATGCCTTTTCTTTAATATCATGGATCTTCAACCTAGGGTTGTTTTTCAATGCATTCTGAATCCTCTTGCTCAACCACTTTATACTTAACATCCTCACATTATACTCCCTGCTGCAATTAAGATTGTCAATTACTTTTCTTATTTTCCAGGTTTCCTCAATTAATAACTTGGAAAAATAAACCTCCCACTCACAACCTTTCTTACATCTCACCCTCACCCTTTTCTTATCATTTTTATGATCTTGAAGGCTCTTCCATTTTGAACAGCATACGATGCAACTGCTTCCTTAATGTCATCCTTTGAAGTAAAATACATTCTTAATTCCCATTTGTAATTGGCCATATCTTTTATCTCTTTGAAAATTGGGTATTTATTCCTTTTAACACCACTATTGTCATCACTGTCACAACCACTTTGAAGATCCTCACTGTCATTGTCACTCCCCTTATATTCCTCTGCAACTTTGCTGCACTTTCCTTTTCCTTTTCCTTTTGATATTTCATTACAGTCATACAAAGTCAGGTCTACAATTTTATTATCATCAATGTCCTCATAACCATCAGATTCATCTTCAAAGGCTACTTCTAGGACACTATCATACTGGTAACTCTCATCCTCATTGTCATCAGAATTGGATTCTTCGTGCACCTGACCATCAGTATTTGGTTCCACTTCAACAGGCTCCACTTCAACATTTGTTGCTTCCACCCCTACATTTGCATCATTCAATCCAGTATTACTTTGTTCCACAATAACTCTTAGATCATTCAATCCATCATTAACTTCATCCACACCAATAATAGTCTCCTTCAACTTTCCATCAATGTCATCATGCAGCTTGCTAAGCAACTCCTCCATCTCATCTACAATGTTCTCAGGCTCCTCAACAGGATCATCAAAATACTCAGGTTGAGACAAACTGTGTTGAATGTAAACATTAACAACATGGTGCACCCTGTATAGGTCTGCAATTTCTAGGGCACCTTTGTCATCAACTAGTTCATTCATCCAAATTGTGGGTCTTTGTAATACATTTTCTCTACATTGTCCATATAACCTAAGTCTTCCAATACACCAACTAACTCAAAGTAGCTTCACCTATC